TTTGTTCTAGTAATGATGTTCCTTCTCTGATTGAATCGTTTATTAACGAGTTTTGCTTGGATTCTTGAATGATGCAGTGACAGATAGAGAAGAAAATAGCAGAGTCGAGGAAGGTCTTCGAAAGCCTTTGCTGATTACTTCAGGCTTAAAGCCTGAAGATGAAGAGGAATGCGATGAAAGTGAAGAATCTCCAGAAGATTCTCGCAGACCCGCAAACTCTTTCGGTGATGCATACCGACTTCTTACTCCATCGGTTAAGGTATCATCATCAGCTTTTCGGAACCATTTGGATAGAAGAACTCTTAAGGAATATTAGAAAATTTATGTGATTGAAAGCTCTGTTGTGTGGCTTTGGTGGTTAGGTTCAACTGTTGATCTACTTCATGCTCAAATACGCAATGGAGATTTTACTTTCGGAGTCTAGTGTCATCACTTCATACTACTTTAGTTGGACAACAAGCTCTGTTGCCATCTTCCTCGCGTGCCTTGGCCTCACAGTGCTACCAATCAACATTCTTGTTGGAAGTTACATCAGTAATATGTTTGAAGACAGGTAATCTTTTGATCCGAGCTCAAACCAAACCAAAAGTACTATTCTCTGCTTGATCGTCTGTTGAATACCCATTGGTTGAATATACATAAAGCTTGAAACTTTTTGCATCTCATCCGAAAATTTGATATTGGTTCATTCTTCTAATGACCAAATAATATAAAGCTTGAAACTTTACGCATTAACTTTGATGGTTTCTTTAAAGGTGACCGAATGCACATAAAGCTTGAAACTTTTCTCTTCTAATCCGAAACATCTTCGATGTTTTTGTGATCCTTTTGTATACATAATGATTGAATCCATAGAAAGCTTGACTTTTTGCATCTGATCCGAAATCTTGATGGCGTTCGTATCTATTGCAGGCAAATCCTTTTGACATCTGAGATCATCGTGTTTATCGGGATTCTCTTCAGTTTCAATTTGTTTGTTCCATACACAGTACCGCAATACGTAATCTCAGGTCTAGTTATGTTCGTCGCTGCTGAAGTACTCGAAGGTGTGTATAATAAGTAAAAACATAACTCTTATACTCTTTTCTTTAAAGAAACCAACTGTTACTTAACGGCTTTATGTTATTCCTCTTAGGTGTGAATCTATCGTTGTTATCGAGAGTAATGTCATCGAGGCTATCGAAAGGAACATACAACGGAGGATTGCTGTCGACGGAAGCTGGAACGTTGGCTAGGGTTGTGGCGGATGCAACCATAACATTGGGAGGATACTTGGGAAGAGGCCATCTCTTGAATGCAACTCTTCTACCTTCACTTGTCATCTGCATTGCCTCCATTGTTGCTACTTGTTGTACTTATAACTCTCTCTACTGACTTTAGGGAATTTTTGCTACCAATTTTACAAAAATAGAATAAAACGAAACTGTGTTGTATGATCCTCTCTTTAATTTGATTGGATTTTTTTTGTTCTGTCACCAAAAGTTCCGATTCCATCAAATCCTCCTTTTGTTGGAAACCTTGTTCCCGTTTTTGTGAGCTTTTTTTGAGTATAATTTTTTTTTTCTTTTACGAAAAATAATTGAATTAGAATCAATATTATAAGATGAAAAAACAAAATTGGAATATGATAGAGGATGGAGAATCTCTCCATCGTTTACATTTGTAACAAAAACATTTAAGTAAACGAACCCTTAATTCCATGATTCTCTATTTTGAATGTCTCTAATGGTTGGCTTCATGGTTTTACCTTCATTGAATGTTTCGAATTTCCATCAAAATTACTTTACTTTTTTTTTTTCTTTTCGAAATGACATTCTAGATTAAAAAAAAAAGAAAGAAGAAGCAATGGTTTTATGTTAAAATTCAAATAAATGTATCTAAAATATATATCTAGAAACTCTTATGGCTAATGCAAGATTTGGTATTTGTTCGGGTTAGTCTTAGTCTAAAATGTTCATATATAAGTGCAAGTAGATAAGGGAAAACAACGTTCTCATAACGTGGGAAGACTGAAATATTCCAGTTACTTTCTGTCTATGAACTTAGACTCAGTCACTCATATAAAAAGTAAGAAGAGAATTATTCGAATTCTTATTTTTTTTCAAATCGAGAAATAATTTATTTTGGACTAAAAAGCTATTCGTGTTCATTTAAAGTAACCATGGCACAACTAAAGAATATCCAACGGCATATGCTATTGATCTATATCGCATAAATATTCATGGTAACTTTTATTACTTTTAGTTTTCTAAGCAACTGAAAATTTGAACAGAAAGGCTGAATAATCTTAATTCGTTTTATCGTGTACCAATGTATTAGTTTTACAGTGTCTACTCTGGTTTATCTCCAAACTGAAGTTATACCCGATTAGAAAGTTAAACTGGAAAATATATAATCCTATTCAGTTTCATTTAAAAAAAAAAAATACTAACAAAGCATAGTCAAAACCGAACCACAAAAATGCAACCTAAAAAAGAAAATTTCTTTCTTTTTTTGTGCAAAGTTAAAATAATATTACTTATTAAATACCAAAATCACAGTAAAACACCTCTACTTAATTCATTTTAAATACTAAATTCGAAGTAATTTCCATATTTCTCACCTTTCATATTCTTTTTTTTATTCTCACCACATTTGTTCTGATAAAAAGCTGCAAAAATAGATTTCCAGCATTATAAAACACATAATAGAAAATCTGATATTCCTGGTCGAGAATTCCTTATCTGATATTTATACATGTCATTGTGCTTACATATATATATATATGTATATATATATGTATATACGATCTTATAGTTACAGAGATGAAGAGAAACATGTAAGCTCACTTGTTCCAGGGCTTCTCCCCATTGGCAGGTCCCTTACTTCCACATACGCATACACATACAAACATTTTTTGTTTTTTTTCGATGTTTTAGTTATATCAGAATTTTACCATAATGGAGTTAAAAATGACCTGCCAAAGGAGAGTTGCCCTGCAACTGGTTTAGCTTATAGTTAAACACATATGAGGTTATGAGAATGGAGAAACTAAAGGTATGACTCTTGTTTTCTTTTTTGTTTTTTGTTTTGGTCTTTTATCAAGATTTTGTAATTTTGAATAGAACAAAGTGTGTTGATCTATATATCTAGATCTGAATTAGTATATAAGTTTGAAAATGAAATTATTTACGCTCTATAGATTTTGAATTAACTATTGGTCTCCGACAGACTTAACATTTAAGAAAATCTAGAACGAAACTCGAAATTTTCACCAGGAAAATTATCTTGTAAACATGATATAATCATTTATCGTTCATTGCATTCGTTTCTTTTTGTCTCATATTTTGAAATTGAGACTACGAAAGTTCATACATCTAGATTTGAGTGGAATTTTGATTATAATTAAGTCATAAAAATCTGACATGGTAGTCACATGCATTACCACATCCAAACACAAACAGACAACAAATAACCATTATATATTTGGTTTTTATAATAAAGCTTATTATGGAATTTTTTGTTTTGTTTTAGTATTCATTATTATGGTGCAAAATCAAAAACTTCAAGATTGGAGAACTAATGTGATGTGTTGGGATATGTGGGTTTTGCTTTCAATTCTTATCTAAATTGTAGGTGAAGTTTATTACATTGTCTTGAAATGGTTATGGAGGTTAGTTATAATTCATGTTGTTAATTTGATTTTTGTCAATTGATTATACTGACGTTTACGTGAGATAACATTGTAATGCGTACACACACACACACAAAAGAAACCTTATGCACAAGAGAGGCTTAATTACCCGCTAGATCTAAAAGAAATTTCCTGATTTTTTTTATTTTCATTTTTTCCATCCATTATTTTTTTTTTACACGAACATGCTGATCCATTTACAAAGACAAAGTGAAAGGAAGATTTATTAAATCCACTTGAAAAAAGCTATGAAAGAAAATGGAAGACAAAGTATGGAGCCAAGGCTGTGGCCTGTGGTGTTTTATATTTTTTGATTCTATATGTATTTGGCTCTTAAGAGTGTGTGTGTGTGTGTATGTATAAATACGGGAGTCTTGACTCTTGATCATTTGCAAAACATACCAAAATCGTTTTCAGTAATATCTTTTCTTAGTTTTCTTTTTTGTTATCATCATTTTTGGTTCGTTGGGCACTATGGGGAATTGTTTTGGAACATGTACACAGCGTCTCTTTACGCTTTAGCCTCCCTGGTTTACATTAAACACCGTGAACTCGTAAAGATCTCTCTGTTTTTTTTTCATCAAATCTCTTGATTTTTTTTTTTCCATGTTTTCAAGAATCTTATGAAACGATCTGTGGTTCTTGATCTTGAAATTCTAGCGGGCTTAGCAAGTAATTATGTTCTCATACGGGAGTGGTTTAGGCGCTACGATGTTCACGCATAAGCTACGTGACTACAACAACAACAACAACAACAACAAGAACTCTCTATTTAGCTAAAAAAACATTGGCAAAGAAAGTCATGGACATTGATCAGAAACTGAAGAACATCCATTAGGTAAACTCGATTGGTCCAAACCCAATTTCTAAATTTCAATCTTTACTCGTCATTTAATTCGAATTGCTTTGTTTTTCTTTTTCAATTATCGCCGGAGAAATTTTTGGAGACGATGAAGTTGATGGAGCATAGCTACGGTGCAAGGGATTTCGTCACCAATAGGCATTAAGAAACACATTGGTTTGTTCCCGGCGGGAACTTATTATCTCATCAAGGTTGACTCTATGTACCGTCGATTCTACTCTAAATTCGCCGGAGAACGCATGATCTCGCCGGAGAATGGTATCGCCGGAACATTGACCTATAGATAACTAAATATTTTACCAATTTGGTAAACTAGGAAATAAATAACTATCTTCTCTGCGTGATGAATTTTATTAATTTCTTTTTACATTCATAATCACTGAACAAAAAGATCTGATTCATTTTAGTCAGTAACCATAGCTTAATAAAAAGATGATTGCCGATCAAAAACAGAGGAAATAATGCAAAATGGTACATTTTTTATTTGTAATCAAAAAGTTTATTGTAACAATACAACAACATCGAGAAGAAGAAACAACAAAAAATACAAAAACACAACAATATTTTTCGGCCCATAAACCCTAAAAAGACACTTCTTTTTAAAAACACACACTTTCCATTTCTTTTGATTTTTTTTGGTAGAATTTAGGACCGTTACCTTTCAAGAAACCCTTTTTCCAGCACTTTTTAAGCTTTAACTTCAGTCTTCTTGTTCGGCTCAAACACAAACTTGATCAAAGATTCTTTGATAGACAACATCTCAGGAAACTCAGTCTTCAATTTAGTAGCATCAAGCTCGTTGTTACTCCTTGGAGCCACAATAACTTTAGCTTGTTCTTCCAATGTGAAGTTCTTCCAAGTAAAGCTCGGGTCTATGTAATCTCTGTACATCTCCAAGATCTCATTGTGGGAAACAACTCCAGGGTTCGTGAAGTTGTAGATCCCGGTTAAGTTCCTCTTTGCCATCTCGATCGATATAGGGAGAAGCTCGTCGAGGATTGTCATCGAGTTCGGTATGTCCACAACTTTCTCGTACCGAGCAATCTTTGTGATGAAGTTTCTCGGGTTCGATAGATCTGAAGATATGGGCATTCTCACTCTCAGAGTGCATACGTTTTCATAGTTCTTGAGCAGCTCTTCCACCTATTTCCAACAACAAAAAACACATTCCAAGAATCATTAAACTCAGAGCTTATTATACATTGAACTAATCTACACTTCATCTGAATCATTAAACTAATCTACACTTCATCTGAATCATTAAACTCAAAGAGCTTATGATACATTGAACTAAGCTACACTTCATCTGAATCATTAAACTCAGAGAGCTTATGATATATTGAACTAATCTACACTTCATCTGAATCATTAAACTCAGAGAGCTTATGATACATTGAACTAATCTACACTTCATCTGAAACATTTCGAGAGCTAGTTTAAGATCTAAGATCCAAGTATGCATAAGTATTGGAATCTACTTTGTTAAAATCTTGGATAATGGATCAGGCAAAGAAAGAAACGGATCGCATCTGAAGTTGAAAAAAGGTGAAGAATTGAAGAAAAGCTCACGAATCTGAAACATTGAATTAGAATCTAAATTTCATCTGAAACAATTTGTGGGGCTTAATGAGCTAAAATCTAATCAAACACACAAATTTGGAACTTAATTTAGCTAAAATCTTAGTTTTTCTCATCAGCAAGAGCAATGGTATCAGAGAAACAAATCGAATCTGAAGAATAGAGACTCTCACCATAGCTTTGGTTTTGGAGTAGAAAGATCCGGTGAAATTAGGAGTATCTTCCTCCTTGAATCCGATACCCGACCCGAGAGGATGACCCGAATCGTACTCAAATATGCAACCCGTCGCGTAATTGATCAGAACGAGTCCCTTTTCCCTACAGATGTCGGCGAGAGTTAGGGTTCCGGCGACATTCGTGCGGATGGTCTCGACCTTGTGAGACTCGCACCAGTCGACGTTAGGGCGTCCGGTGACTCCGGCGGCGTTGAAAACGTGGCTAGGTTTCACGGTTTCGATGTCGGCGACGATCGATTGACGATCCTGAAGCCGGCCGGAGCCGTAAGTGTAAGAGATTCCCTGAGATTCGCAGAGCTTGCCGAGCAATCCGCCGATCCATCCGGTTCGGCCGTAGATTAGGAAGTTGAGTGATCCGTTTGCTTCTGCGCCCATTATTTTCTTGTCGGTGATCGGAGATTCCGCCGGAGATAGAAGAAAGAGAGGATGGATGGATCTGAGTGGTGGGAGAAGAAGAAATAGAGACGTTTTTGTGTGTCCGGTAATGCTTCTTTTTATCCCATTTTCTCGGGGAGACAAATATTTTGATTTTACCACCCTATGTTTTCTATTTTGACATTTACGACCCTATAAGT